TTGAAGATGGGACATTCTAGACTTGCCTGTGAATTTCTGTTCTTCACAAAGGAAGGGAGACAGTAAGCGTGGGGAAAGACCCTTCCCCTTTAGGACTGGGAATTGATCTTTTAGAAAACTAGATCTGTCTCAGGTTCCAGCTGCTGAAAGTGAAGACAGCTTCTGTCCTTTCAGCAGAGAAAAGGAACGGCTCATTTTTGTCACTGCACTTCCCATTGCCATGTGAAGGCCAGAAAACAACAAAATCATGTGATCCCTTCCTTGCCAAGCCCATCCCAGGGGACTGAGGGCTGCAGATGCAGAGAGAAAGAGAGAGGGAGAGAGAGAGAGAGAGAGACTACTACTGCTCTTCTGCCCTATAAATGTGTGCTGAACCTGGCAGTATTTTGTTGGTGGGAGAGGCAAAAGGGCCCTACTTCTGTATTTTGAACCTGTGTACATTTTTTAGAAGATTCATGCATTCAAAGACCACTCTGCCTGACTCTGTGTTAGACAGCTGAGAAAACCACCTGGGAACTGAAGAGTTGCCTTCAGGTGTTCTTCCTGCCCAGAACTCTAAGAACCACCTTTGGAAACTAAATCTAGGCATTGCCAGTTTCGAAAACTGTGTCTGCAAACCACTGTTAACTTAGTATCTTTGTCTCAGCAGTAGCGGGACCGCTTGACATATACCTCTCTCTGCTGGTCAAAGGTTCTGGGACACAGCCCACGAAGCTGTGACCACAAGAACCAAAACCTCAGAGTACAGAGGCTTCTGCTCTTTAATTGTGCTGATCCACAAGCAGTGGGCTGGCTTCTCAGGGGAGCACGGCTTTCGAAATAAAAACCAACACAGAAGCGCCCATCTTAGGGATAGTCAAATCATGTACGTTATCACTGGACAGCAGGCAGAACATATTGCAGAAGAAGGTGGACTGGTTTTGGATGACTTTGGCCAACCCCTCTGCAGGAGTTAGTTAAAGCATGCTGGAACAGAAGGGGTGGAAGAAGATGCTGCTGGGAAGGCAGAGGAAGTTGATGTAGGTTTGGACTGCTTGGCGGTGACTGTCGTTCACCCTTTTGAACCAGCTAACAGGTTTCTACGGTTCCAGCTGAGTCGGGGACAGCATTCCTGTGCTAGTTTTTCCTCTGACAAAACCTTCCCATGAAAATTCTCTGCCCTTGCTACATTTGAAGCTTTCGGTGTCATGAAGGGGACCCGAATCACTATTGGCTGGGGAATGATCTCTGGGAACCAGAGCTGGGGTTAGAATGTACAAGGGGGGACCCGCGATACTCGCGGGG